TGGGATCGATGTGGCTTCAGTGGTGTGTGATGTGTTATTCACCTGGACAGACTGGGGACAGAGGAGATGAGACCTTCACCTTTGAAATGCCGCAAAACACTATTTGTCTCAGACACGTAAACTACAAACGTTTACATTGAAACAGCCTTGATCAAGTATAATAAAGATAAAATATATAAAGTGCAGGATGTTTTATTATTTCTGTGGCTTGGGTAATCCAACTGCAAAGTTTAGACTACAGCAGAGGGGACACATTATTTCTTAAACACAATTTGTGGCCATTGGACCACCACATTATCACCACATTATGGTGATTATATGTTGTTTCTCAAGTTCTTTTATTCATATTTTAATGAAAGAATTGAGGATCTACAAGTACGTTGCTAAATTTGTAAGACAACTTTAACCTTGATTCATAAGTCATGTATTGTATGCTGTAAAGACAAAATTGTATTTATTTTGTCTTAATTACCTTTTAAAGAAAATATTTTTAACCTTAAAATGATTGATAGGAAGCACAAGATAACTAAGACAACTATGGTCTTGATTATTTGAAATATTTATTATTAGAAATATATATGTACTGAGAGTAAAGTCAGCTGAGATAAAACCTGATAATGAATGTCCTTTTGGTAACTTCGGGCCTTTAGACTTTTGAAGTGTATAGTATCGTAAACGTATTTGTTCAAACAAGTTCTCATTTCCAGGGATGTCAAGCATGCTGCCCACAAGCCTGTGTGTGTATATGTTTATGTGTAAGTGTAGGTGTAGGTGTAAGTGTAGGTGTATGTGTGTGTGTCCACAGATGCAAAAGATAAAACTTTCTAGACAAAGGATATCTTTTGGTAGAGTATATTTTGGCTCTCGAGCAGCTCTCATTTAACTTATTGGACCTGAAATGAGTTCGACACCCAATATATACAACTATTTATATATACATTTATGCTATTTTTTTTTTTTTTTACAGGGGACTGTGTGGACAAGAGCCTTTCGCCTTCATTATTCTGAAGATTTGTCGATTCCATTCTGCAGTGAGAGAGCAGAAATATCCAGAAGAAACATGGATGCTCAAAATACCGCAGTGTGCCTGCTCAGGAGGAAGATCGTCCTTGCTTGTTGTTAAATGATTTCTTCAGCTTCAATTCCTTCTCCAATATCAGTCAAAAGAGATCACTGAGAGATCATACATAAAATGGTAATGGCACCATGACCCTGCTCTCTAGGTCACCTTGCCATGTACGCTCAGGAAATCCATCTGCTTATTCCCATTCCAATATCTTGCTCCTAGTTAATATGAACTTTTCCATCCCATTTTTACCAATATCTGTCACTAGATGGGGCTGTGATACTACTACACTGTCAAAGTTGGTCATTCTTAGCTGAATCTGCTCTGTGGGTGAACTCTGCAAGAGCTCCAATTTACCAAGTCAGTAACAATAAGACCAACCTTTCTGAAGCAGGATATTTTAGCAGTACAGTAATTACAGTTAAACCTTAGCCTATTGCACGGCATGGGATTTTTAAGCCACTCTTGCTCACAATGCATTAGACACAATGGTTTACCAGGCATCAGAATTGGACTGTGTCTATGTAGTGTGCATTGTCTTAGATTACCTTTCTCAAATGGCCACATCACAGATTTTCTATAGATTTGTGTCAATATTAATGTGATTATATATACACACGCACACTCACACGCACACATGCACGCGTGCCACGCACACACAAATACACACACGCACACACACACACTGGTATGTGTTATGGAAATACTACATAAGAATAATGCACTACTGGTCATGCCACTTGCAGATAACTGACATCTGGTGTTTTTGTCACCCCTACACCCCATTTGCTAATGTAAAGATATATTAAATAGTAAATTAGTAGGTTCAATACTGTAATCTTTTTCAAGATCAATTATAGCCTCAACAAGCATAATCACAAAGGTACAAGCACATGGTGCAATTTAAATGATTTGCACATTCCTCTCGCTCCATATAAACTGTTGAGGAGAAATGGAGAGCCCGCTCATGGAAATGATATGCAAATCTAATGACAATTTTATATTTTAGGCAGTTATTGTTTTGACCTGGCTCCTCAGTTGACAAAAGAAATCTGCTCCTTCTGAGAAGCAGGAAATCAGCCTTTTGAGTGCTCTTGTGTTTGAAGAGTGGAGGGCAAGGCAGAGCGTGATTGCTGCTCATGGCAGAGGGGATCAGACATAAGGTTTCACTCAGGAAGAGAAAAAGAGCGAAGGCCACATAGTATATTTTTGCCATTTAACATTCAAATAAAAGTTCTCCAATTATCATGGAAAAACCTTTTTTTCCAAAAGGAAGAATTTTAGAAGGAACTACAACTCTGTATCATTATCTTTCATCATAAGAAAAGATAGCCTTTATTCGCCCTCAGTGAGAACGTGTCAGTACATTTGAGTGTCCAAATCTGTCTCAAATATACAGTGCCTGGTAAACGTATTTGACCTTTAAGTTGCTAAAGTAATTAGTTACATGATACTAATTACCTGAAAATGTAATCACTGTACTTGCCAATGTGTGTATTTCTATTGTGGGAAAGTTGTCAGCAGAGTTTATGGACTCTTGAATCAGCTAAGTACCATTTGACAACATGAAAGCCTGAGGCTTATATTCAAGTGCGGCCTATATTTGGACAAAAAAAATTACTTTTTTTTTAAGTGTTGCTGCTGCGGCTTACATACAGGTGGGCTTAAAACTCCAGAATGTTACACTACTTAGTCTCAAGAAAATTACTTTGTTACATTACGTGGGAATACTTTAATAGGACACTCAAACAAAGAAGAAAAACACCAATAGAAGAATTAAGATAGAGAGCACACACATCTGTATCTCTCACAGTAATACAAATCCATAGTAAATGGGATTTAATTTAAAAAGAAAGAAAAAGAAGCCAAGATAAAAATGGCATAGTAAGCTACTGTTGTTTTAACTCCCTGTCCATCATACTGTTTTGGTTGCTCATCCGTCTGAAGAATGTTCAAATACATATGTTCGCTCTGTGGTGGTCTGGGTATCACAGGATGACACTGCTTCAGTCTCTGGATGTCTCCCTAGTCCCCTGCAAAGCTGACTGTGGCTGAATCCTCTGCAGGTGTGACACCACAGCTGTGACACCTCCTGTGGTGTCATAGGCTCAGGTCTTCCAAAAACCCAGACACTGTCAAGTGGCGTTCCAGAGTGGTAGATTTTGAGTCATGGCGCACAACATTAACCTTTGACCTTGGCCCCAGACCCCTAGACCAGTCACCCAGGTGACCCACAATAAAGTATGAGCCCTCACTGGTTTTGTGCCCTTGTTCTGCTGCCATACTGCAGCACCACCAGGACACTGATAGGATGTTCTTTGCATGCTAGTCTGCATCAGAGCCTCTCGTGTCAGCTGGTGCTTCCTGAGTTTATGGATATACTCAGGTGCAGCTATAGTCATCTGTCATCTGGGGGAGAAAAAGCCAAGTCCATGGGCCTGGTGATTTACATGTTAGAGGTAAGTCCAGTGGAGGTGGTTTGGAGTTGTAAGGCCATACAAAGGGCCCTCCTCCAGTCCATCTGATTGGAAGAGTGGAAAGCATGCTTGCATGTTTGCGATGGCTAATATGGCTAACTGCAGTCTCTACTTGCCTCTATTTGTTTCTGGGAACGAATGGTGCTTTCACAACATCGACTCGACACTTGATATATCCAGTGGTGGAATGTATTTTAGTAAAAACTTAAAATGATAGGTATTTACTTTTTCTGATGAATAACTCATACTTTTATTTCACTACATTTCAGATCCACTACTCAACATTTCACAATTTGGTTAAACGTATTTTATTATCAAAGTGATCTACTGGTTTAGACCTGGTGTAACCCTGTTTTTTTTCAGTGATTTTATACTTACGTATGCACATTCTTTATCAGATTGTTAAAACAAATAATTCGTTCTAAATTAGAAAGCAGTAGTACAGTAAATAATAATAATTTATGGTTAATTAAAAGTATTATACTAGTAGAAATTAAAATAAATAATTCCATGCACTGAAAATTGAATACTTGAATTAGTAAATTAAAAAATGTAATTAAGTAGTACATTTATTTAGTTTTAATTTTACACTAATATTTTTTTTTGATTAATTTGAGCACTCGGGTTTACAGTGTGGTGGAAGGGCCTAATAGATTCATGGGAAGGGCCCAGTACGAGTGTTTTCAATGTCCAACAGCTCAAACACACTGGAAAACGGCAGACTCGGGTTCCAAAGGGCTCGGCCAAGATCTCCAGACCTTCAGCTCTTCAGTCTACCAAAAACTTGCTCTGCGTCCACCGTTGAGTCAAGTCAGTTGTGCTAAGGTACCTGCAGATGGAAGGGGTAACGAGAGTGTCCTGAATGGACGCATGCTCAGAGCATGTTTGTGCTGACATTCGCGCCAATAAGTGACGTCATGTGCATATTAATTACAATAACAATATAACACATGATTGGTGGCTGAGTGGTTAGAAGGATGGCTGTTAAATAATAGGTGTGGAGCATGTTTCTTCCTGGTTCTTCGTGAGTAATCCCGGGAAGATAATTGGCCCACTCCTTTGAACGGTGAAGATGAGCGTGAGTCTGTCCGTTAATATTTACAGTCTATGGATAATACACGTATACACGCCACGTATACACGCATACACACGTACACACACACACGCACGCACACACACACACACACACACACACACACACGCACACATAGACACACATACATACATATATATATACACACACATTGAAAAGAGGGAGACTTTTGAGCATTTTGACACAAAAATGCGTGAGTGTCTGTCAAGTGCTGTCCAATCCTAGGCCGATACAAGAGAAAGACCCGCCTCCCAGCTGGGTGTTCTGGAAAGAACGTCATCTCTGCCTACACATTTAGCTTAGCACAAATTAGCTTGGGTAGGTGTGAAAATCAGAGATATTCCGCTTTCCGGAGGCGTGATTTATGACTAACGTGTCGGATGATTACCAAATAAACGTAGGTCATGGGACATTCGCATCCAACATGTACATTAAACCATTCTTCCAGCACAGAGACATGCTGAAAGGAGAAATATTTGTGAAATGCTGCCTAGCTTAATAAATGCTAAAGCTAAAGTGGCTAAGGTTAACGTTTGTCATTTATTCCTGATGGGTAGTTTTCGTTGATTCTCCGATAACAAACGTGTGTTTGAAGCCATAAAGACGCATTGATTGATTTTACGAGAAAAGTAAGTAAATTACCTTAATAATAGAGTTGATTTAAAGCGAACTATCTGCTAACATCGGTAGCAGCTAACGACACCACTCATTTCAGATAACTAATCTCAGTGTTTTAGTCTGTGGTTTAGTCGAACATCGACGATTTGTTTGTGTTCTTGTGCTTACACGCCCTGTCTGCACAAGGACCCATTGAGATTGTTTTGGTATCTCATTGTGAACGCAACGATTTAGTTACTGGCTTGTTTGCATAACCAACGAAATTAAGTTAATGACAATGCTGATTGTAGGTGGCTGCTTTCCATTATTCATTCGAGTCTGTAATACTATAATTTATGTACATTAATAATTTGTGATATTTATGTTGTCAACATGTATGTATATATTTTGGGTTGGTACCTATTTTTATTCACACTCCAATATTTAGGCTATTAATTTATGCTACTGATTATACAGGGATATGGATTTCTTATAGCATTCTGTCTTTCTCCTTCATAAGGAATATAGGTCTCTGGAGGCAGAGCCATGGGCGCTTTCCTGGACAAACCAAAGACACAGAAGCACAACTCCCATGGAGAGGGCAATGGCCTTCGCTATGCCCTCAGCTCCATGCAAGGATGGAGAGTGGAGATGGAGGATGCCCACACAGCTGTTCTTGGACTTCCTTCACCTAATATGAAGGACTGGTCTTTTTTTGCTGTTTATGATGGTCATGCTGGCTCTAAAGTGGCAAACTATTGTTCCAAACACCTCATGGAGCATATAATCAGTGCCAGTTTTGGGCAAGAAAGTGAAGGCTCTGGTAGTGACACCACAGCGGTGGCACTACCTTCAGTGGACGCTGTGAAAGCTGGGATCAGGACTGGCTTCTTGAAGATTGATGAACATATGAGGAGTTTTTCCGATCTGAGAAATGGTATGGACCGGAGTGGCTCCACAGCCGTGGGTGTACTCATCTCACCAGACCATTTTTTCTTTTTAAACTGTGGGGATTCACGAGCTGTTCTTTATCGTAATTCAAATGTGTGTTTTTCAACGCTTGACCACAAGCCTGGCAACCCTCGAGAAAAAGAGCGTATTCAGAACGCTGGGGGCACGGTTATGATCCAGAGGGTGAATGGGTCATTGGCAGTGTCCAGAGCTCTGGGGGACTATGATTACAAAAATGTGGATGGCAAGGGCCCCACAGAGCAGCTCGTCAGCCCTGAACCAGAGGTGTTTGAAATGGTGCGGGCTTCAGAACAGGACCAGTTTGTGATCTTGGCATGTGACGGCATCTGGGATGTCATGTCCAATGAAGACCTGTGCGCTTTTGTCAAATCCAGACTTGAGGTGACCAATGACCTTGAACGAGTGTGCAATGAGGTGGTGGATACTTGCCTTCACATGGTATGTACACAAACTCTTCATTAAAATTGTTGTTGAAATTCAGTTGCAAACTGGCTGCAGCCAAGTGGGGAAGTGGGGAATGAATGAGTGATGCACGAAATTGTTGATCCAATACTTGGCGATTGGAGGTGCCGTTACCAGACATGTCATTATAATGCAAATACCAGGTAGAAAAAAATAATACATAAAATAATACATTCAAATTCAGACTAAACATCTTTTTGATAAGGCAAACATTTATTCCTTATGCAGAGTCATGTCACTGTCAACTTTAAGCAAACTGAGAAATAAGCACATATTGTTCTAGACCACAGTAGTATGAAGTCTTAAATTTTTTTTTTAACACTTGTTAATGACGTAATACTCAGTTTGAGTAAATAAGAAAAAGTGAAATCCATGCAAGTTCTCAGCAATATTCAATGATGAAAATCTAAAATCAAATAACAGACAATTGCATGGGAGCTAAAAGTGAACAAAATGGCTTGTTCAGTGTTCCTACAGGGTTCTCAAAAGTTTTAATTTGTCAAGCACTTTATTCAGGGTTGTAATAAAAAGTGGTACTGGCATGGTTTCAAAATATGTCACTTTGCGACAGCACAGACACAGGCTGCAACAAAAAATCAGTTTATTAATGAACTAATTGAAAAAGCTTCTTTGCTAGTTGGGCTCTGGGTATTACTTTTGTTTTATAGAATTGTAACTGCAGAAAGAGGGGCGACAGTGGCTAAGTTGGTAGACCATTGGTCTTTGGACCTAATGGTCGTAGGTTCAATCTCACCACGACCCATCTCATCTGCTACCACTGATGTCTGCTATTGTTGTGTCCCTGGGCAAGACACTTAACCCCACTTTCCCCCTGAAGTCTCCGCTAAAACACCAAGGCCGTATCTGCATTGAAGGAGCAGCCATCTTCCTGTGGACCCACCACCTGCAGGAGGGTGGCAGCTCTGATTGCCCCCCCCCCCCCCCCCCCCATAAAATGGATGTGGATGAATGAATGAACTGTAGAAAGACAAGTGGTCAGGGGAACAGGGTACATCATCCCCCTGGTGGTGATGCATGCACTGCATTAGATCTAGATGATCTAATGATACTAGAGCTAACGTAATAACAAATAGGTGCATAGAAAATCTGGACCACTGACTGACCACATCTGTACATGTTAGCAGCAGTAGTTTTCCATCTGTACATTAGCAGCATGAGGCTCTGGGACACAGTGACTCAGTAAAGTGGCAGTGATATGCAGTTATTGCACATTCTGATATAAGTTAAGGATATTGCAACGATGTATGACACGTAGGATCAAGTTGGCAGTGTTCATTAGTCCTTATTGTTTGTTGTACAGTCTGACAGCAGCAGGAAGGAAAGACCTGCGGAACCTCTCCTTCACACATCGAGGATGAATGAGTCTCTCACTGAAGCTGCTCTCCAGAGCAGAGAGAGTGTCCTGCAGGGGGTGACAGTCATGGTCCAGCATAGATGTTAGTTTGCTCAGGACCCTCCTGTCCCCCACCTGCCGCACTGTGTCCGGGGAACAGCCCAGGACTGAGCTGGACTTCCTAATAACCTTGTCCAGCTTCTTCCTGTCCCTCTCTGTGATGCTGCTGCTCCAGCAGACCACACCGTACAAGAGGCTGATGCCACCACAGAGTCATAGAAGGTCTTTAGGAGTGGCCCCTGCACTCCAAAAGACATGAGCCTCCTCAGCAGGTAGTCTGCTTGGCCCCTTCTTGAAGAGGGCATTTGTGTTTTGAGTCCTGTCCAGTTTGTGGTTCAGATGAACACCCAGGTACTTGTAAGAGTCCTCTTATGTTATCTTCTACATTACGTCCACGGAGCTGATCTGAAGTGTATCTGCAAAAATATTTTTCTTAGTCTATTGCATTGTCCACATTCATCTGCTGGACCTGGGGAATGCCGTTCATTCTCTCTATTCTCTCATGTGCAAACAAGAGGCTGACTGTTGAACACTAGCAGCAAGCTGATGACTGAGTGAAGTGTATTTTTGGTCTCACCATTATACTGTAATTTGCACTTCTTTATGTTTCGCAGAGCAGTGGTTACATCATCCACCAAGACTAATTCAGATTTCCTGTTTCTGTTTGCCTTAGGGAAGTCGAGATAATATGAGTGTGGTGTTGGTTTGTCTGCCAAATTTTCCCAAAGTCACAGAAGAAGCTGTGAGGAGGGAGGCTGAACTCAACAAGTACCTGGAGTCTCAAGTTGAAGGTAACGAATAGACAAATGTAAAAGTATGTATTAAAAATGTTTAATATTCATATTTGCCCCAGGCCAATACAACAAAACAAGTGTGTTTTTTCACCGTGACGACATGCACAAAAAATCTTAGTCCTATGCGTTCAGCACTTTATAAAATGAATGCCTTGCGACCATCCAATGCATGTTGTCGTGCCCCCTAGACATTTCAAAACGTGAAAGCCTATGGGAGCCAGACCTACATATTTTCGAGTAGGTAAAATTCAAAACAGTGATAGATATGAGAGGTAAGTCCAAAGCCCTGTCCTCACCACTGCATCGCTGCACCGTTGTTGCCTTTTTTAGATCTGTTTGTGCATGCATCGTGGAAACCGCACGGTGGAAGTGGGAACGGGGCTTCAAACTCCATTGGAGCAGTGCTCTGTGACTAACAGGAAGATATTTTTATTTTTGAAGTTGAACTCAGGCCAATTTAATCCCTATTATGTAATCTTGGCCTAAGCAAAATGGCAACAAACCCATCTCTATAGGATGCTTCTGACTCAAACATTGACCGAAGCAGCACCACTCAAATATTTGTGCTCTTAACAAGTGATTATATCAGCATTTATAATATTTTTGCTCGATTGGCTTTTAATTGACCGCTGCTCCTCTGATTCTCTGTGCTGTTTGCAAAGGGATATACAGTTGGGTCCATGAAAAAATGGATTCACTGAAATAAGTCTTGCAATTTTCATCTGATCTTGGTGCAAAATGAAAAATCAGATTAAAATGGACACTTCAGGGCTTCCGGTCATGGCCGCAAGCTGCTAGGTCACGTTTTACCCTGCTCCTGAACGAATCCTGATTTAATATTTTTTTACGGATATACGACGCCTCAAACGGCTAATTGATTATGTAAGGATGCCAGGCAAAGGACGCTCTAGCAATAAAACTCCAAAACAATCGAAACTTACGGATTTCGGACCGCAAAGTACGGGTCAGCTATCGCTAGCCAAAGAAGCTACTAGCAAAGAGATGACAGCCAACGTCGATACCAGTGAGACTGAGGAAGCTTGTGGCTCACACTCGACACTATCAGGCGACAATGTGCTGCATGTCGTCAAAGAAGAAATACTGGGAGAACTGCGCAGTCTCAGGTCAGAATTTTCTGGAAGATTTGACGGTGTTATGAAAGCTATCAGCGACACGCAAAAACAAGTGGCTGAGTGTGAAGGCCGCCTGGATGAAGCAGAAGTGCGCATTTCTCACGTGGAGGACGACCAGAACAACCTAAAATCTGAAGTCGAAAAGCTGGGTAAACGAAACAAACACCTTGAGGAGAAAGTTATTGACCTAGAAACAAGATCACGTCTAAACAATCTCCGACTGGTGAATCTACCCGAGGGTGCGGAGGGTCCTGATACATGCAAGTTTTTGGAAGGCTGGTTGCCCGAAGCGCTTGATATAGCAACGCGTTTCCCTTTGGCATTGGAGAGAGCGCACCGGGTCGGATCCAAACGGGACAGCGATGCACCACCGAGAACTGTAATCATGAGATTCCTTGACTACAGGCAAAAGGAATTGGTGGCTAAAGCAGCCAAAGCGAAAAAAGACATACTGTACAAAAATCATCGTGTGAGATTCTACAGTGATGTTGCCACAGAGGTGCACAAACAACGTAAACAATTCGACGCGACCCGTCAGCAACTGCGCCAACTGGGCCTGAGACACGGCATTATCCCACCAGCTACGCTAGTGCTAACATACCAAGAAACTGTGCATAAGTTCAACTCAGCAGCGGATGCCCAGAGCTTCATAAGAAAGATCCAGGACGTTGCTGATCGACCAAGATAGACGGGTAGCAGACTACACAAGTACAGTATCGGCTGTAAAAGACTCACAAATACACTTTTTTAAGCTTTAGGTGCCCTTTTGGTTAATTTGCATATTCTTTAAACACAAATGCAAATTTGAGTTCGTATATCAGAGAATTATTTGAATAAATATATTATAATTATTAAAAAAATCCTCACAATAACACTTTCATAATTGCAGCAGGGTGGGGCTGGATCCAAATATTTCATTTTACTCTCATGGTAACAGATCTGAGTGATCTGAACGTGACTGCGGTTGGAAGCAGGGTTTTTCATGGGGTTGCCCACTTACCTGGGTTGAGGGATAGGGTTTTGTGTGTAGTTCATGGTTTTTTGTTTTTGCTTTTTCACCCCCCAGACAAGTTAAGTTGTATTTTCTTCACTGTGATTAAATGACACAAACAGTTGAAATTAAATGTACTTCCTGGAATTGTAGAGGCTTGAATAAGATACAAAAAATCAAACAGGTCATGAACAGATTGAAAGATATTGGCTCTAAAATTGTATTTTTGCAGGAAACCCATGCCTTAGAGGAAGACAATCTCAAAATAAATAGAAGGTGGCCAGGGGCTTTATATGCAGCCTCTTTTACTTCAAGAGCACGAGGGGTAATCACTTTAATACATAAATCTGTGCCCATTTCAGTCTCAAACGTCATTAAAGATAAATATGGCAGATTTCTCATAATTCAAGGATCTATTTTACAGGAAACAATTAATTTGATAAATGTATATGGACCAAATAATGACGATGATGCATTTTTCACAAACCTTTTTCTAATCATTTCATCTCTTCCAGGAAAAATCATTATTGGAGGAGACTGGAACTGCGTTCTAAACCCCTTTAAAGATCGATCGACTAGATCTGACCAGACTCACCATAAAAGCAGGGGGGTAATTTGCAACTTCTTAAAAGAATTAAACTTGATCGATATTTGGCGTCACCTAAAACCAAGTGATATAACCTATTCGTGTCACTCAAAAACTTTTAATACATACTCCCGTATAGACTACTTTATAATATCCGCAGATCTATTGGCAAACATAACAGACTGCCAGTATGATAGTATAACTATTTCAGACCATGCTCCGGTTAATATCTTATATTCTCAAAAGAATCTAAAGGTGGACCCTCCAAGATGGTGTCTACATTTAAAATGGCTTAAAGATAATGATTTTTTAAACTATGTAGAAAATAAAATTGATGAGTACTTCAGCATAAATACGACTCAAACTTCAGCATGTATTAGATGGGATGCCTTTAAGGCTTTTATAAGAGGGCATATGATTTCCTTTACTGCCACTAAATCCAAAAAACTTCGTAATAAAAGAATACAATTAGAAGAGAAAATAAAACAACTTGAGAGACAAGTCTTTACAGGCACTGGTAATATTCTATTGGCAGAAAAAGAATTGATACATGTCAGAGCAGAGTATAATAAGGAATCAGCAAACCGGGCAGCGTCTAACATTATTCGATTGAATCAATCTTTTTATGAACAAGGTGAAAAACCAGGCAGGATTCTAGCATGGCAAATTAAACAACTTGAGACTCAAAAAAGCATAACTAAAATTATAACTAATAACGGGGAGACAATAGTTGACCCAATACAAATAAACGTGGAATTCAAAAACTATTATGAAAAACTGTATGACGCTCTAGATTGTGATAATATGCAACAGAAGGCCTTTTTAGACAAGCTAACTATTCCCACAATTTCAGATCATTTTAAACAACAACTAGAAACTGAAATTAATGAGGAAGAAATAAAAAAAGTCATGGACAGAATGTCTATGGGTAAAAAATCTGGACCAGATGGGCTTCCCATTGATTTTTATAAAAAATTTCAAAGCAAGATAATAAAGCCGATGTTAGACATGTTTTTAGAATCATTTAGGATAGGAAGCCTTCCTGACTCGATGACAAAAGCATCAATTATTCTCTTACCCAAACCTGGAAAACCTAATGACAAATGTGAAAATATGCGACCTATAAGTTTGCTCAACTCTGATTTAAAGATACTCAGTAAATTATTGGCTTTGCGTTTACAAGAATTATTACCAACAGTCATTCATAGAGACCAAAATGGTTTTATTTTAGGCCGACAAGGTCTTCACAATGTCCGCAGGGTCCTTAACATTATCCATGGATTGAAAGAAACCACGGATCAAGCTCTTCTTTCATTAGACGCAGAAAAAGCGTTCGATAAAGTTGAATGGTCTTACCTCTTTGAGGTTTTAAAACGATTTGGTTTTGGGGATATATTCTGCAATTGGATTCATTTACTTTACTCAAATCCCACGGCAGAGATTTTGACAAACAGAAACGTGTCTTCACCAATTAAAATAAAGCGCGGCTGTCGACAGGGCTGCGCACTGTCGCCTTTGTTGTTCACCCTGGCCCTAGAACCACTCGCTATAGCGGTGCGAGCCCACCCAACAATATCTGGAATCTCAATAAACCACACAGAACATAGGCTTGCTTTGTATGCCGATGATATAATTCTGTTCATCTCTCGACTAAACACTTCAATCCCAGCCTTGCTGCAACTTATTGGTGAGTTTGGTCATATCATGGGGTACACCATAAATAGATCCAAATCCTCTATCCTTATGCTAGATAAAAATGAGAGAGAGAAGCCACCTCTGGTGACTTCACCCTTTAATTTAGTTTCCAGCTTTACATATTTAGGAATACAAATTCTGTCAAGTTTAGATCTAATAGTTAGGCTTAATTATGAAACAGTCTTAAAAGAAATATCTGACAATATTAAAAGATGGACACTCCTGCCCATGTCCTTGATTGGTCGAATTAACATATATAAAATGAATATACTCCCCAAATTACTATATATATTTCAAAACATTCCCTTACCGCCACCCTGTGATTGGTTTAAGACGTTCAAAACTCTAATTCTATCTTTTCTTTGGAACAATCAAAAAGCTAGGATAAGACTCACTTTGTTGTATATCTGCCTTATGAGGATGGAGGCTTAAAATGTCCAAACATAGAATGGTACTACTGGTCTGCTCAATTAAGGTCAATGAGGTATTATTTTCACAAAAAGGATGCCCCACAGTGGGCGGAAATGGAAAGTGAATCGTTGAGCCCACAATTACCTCTGTATATATTTTCCGATACAGAAGTTAACCTAAGTAAGAAAACAAATAATCCAATAGTCAAGAATGTCATAAAAGTGTGGTATGCAATAAAAAAACTGTTAAAAGATTCCAACACTTTATCACAATTCAGTCCCATTTGGGCCAATCAGGACTTCAAACCAGGCAGAAAAGATGCAGTCTTTAAACAATGGGCAATAAATGGGCTGGAAAAGATTAAAGATCTATACCCCACAAATTCTAATATTATGATGTCTTTTGAAGAGCTGCAGCAAAAATATAATATTCACAGGAAGTACTTTTTCAAATATCTGCAACTTAGGAACTATATTGGGACAAAGAAAAATGATCTTTTGATACCACCTACATCTAATTTGGAGATTTTGATCTCTAAGGAAGGCTCAAAAAAGGGGGCAATTTCTGAATTTTATAATTTTTTGTTGTCAAACTCTTTTGAGGATTCAAATCTGAAGCTCAATGCTTGGAGGAATGATCTAGACACAAATATATCTTTAGAAGATTGGCATATGGTATGCACCAAAGCTCAAAAACAAACTATTAACTCCAGATTGAGGTTACTCCAATATAAATGGTTGATGCGAGTCTATGTCACCCCAGTTAAACTCAATAAGTACAACCCCAATATCCCAGATACATGTACAAAATGCAATGAAGAAAAGGGTACATTATTCCACTGCATCTGGGATTGTAGGATAATTAAATCATTTTGGACAGAAATCATTCAAACTATGAAAGGAATTGTATTAAAGACCGTAACCTTGGAACCAAGCTTTTTAATTTTGGGAATTTATCCAAAGAATGTAACATATACAAGTAGTGAGAAAATACTTATAGATATGAGTATCCTACAAGCTAAACGGTTGATTGCACTGCACTGGAAAAATAATAAAAGCCCGAGCATAGGACAATGGGCTAAACAGATGCTTGCTGTTTTGCCACTGGAACAAATCACATTTATTCTAAAAGGGAAAAGTGAATTGTTTGAAGCTGTTTGGAGGCCATTCATCATGTATGTAAGAGACATGAGCCTACTGAATGAGCTCAGTGAAGAAGAATCTTGATTGTTTTTATTATAGGTGTTCTGATATATATGTCTGGGAGGGTGTGTGTGTTTGCGTTGTTTTGTAAAAAAAAAAACTGAAAATATAAATAAATATATTGTTGGAAAAAAAAAATGGACACTTCAGTTAAAGCAACATCTAGTTTGTTTAATTAACAGCTCTCATCTACATCTTTCCCTTTACTGCCGTCTTGTTTGGCACACACGCACACACACACACACACACAATTCTTTTAGACTTGTGCAATAGAATTGAGTTGTAATGTCTTTTTAGAGATGATGTCTCAGCCAGGGGAGGATGGTTACCCTGACTTGGCAACAGTGATGAGAAACCTTTCTGCAGACCCCAACATGCCTCCTTTGCCCCCAGGAGGCGGCCTTGCCAGCAAGTAAGAAACTTTGTACTGTGTTCATGTATGTGAAATGAAAACTGTACAGGTTTGAAATAATATATCTAATCTAAGTCATGACCATTGCTCTGTCCAAGTGAAGCCAATGGAAGCTGATTTATGTAAAATTTTCCAGTTTCTTAAACAATATTATGATTTGTACTTTCAGACATAGTGTTATTGAAGCAGTATACAACAGTATGAACCCGTACAGAGAGGAAGATGGGGTGAGTATTTCTATGTTTATGTCATAGTTTATAATTAAGTTAAATGATTATGATCAAACTTAGCAGCTATCATGTGTTTGAAGTAAAGCTGAGAACCTAATGTTGGTCATGTCCTTCCACTGATGTCCACATATGAACGGCATGTCACACTTTATAGTCTAAATGGTTTTTGACAAGACCCTCAAGGTTTTCTTCCATACCTATCCCAATTTACTGACTGAATCAATATTTGGATTCAGTGTAGCAGCAACATTGATTATTGAATTAAAATACAATTGTCAAATGAGTGTAGTCATTTTCATACTAAACGTGTCTCAGGAAGTGTAAATTGGTGATTTGTGACTATGTATATTTATTATATACATTCATGATTTTTGTGTTATTGCTGGACTCTAAACTACTTTATTCTTTAAGCCCTGCGGCCTGTATAGCGATGTGACCAATGTATGCATTTGTTTTTCCTGGGAGACAGTTCTATCCGCTGATTTGTATGTGAATAGCAGAGAGTCAACATGAGGAGATGCACAAAATACAAGAGAGTTGTTTTTACGTGATCAGGGCTGTTGTCAGAGCAGTTATTTGGACTCTATCCAGGTTTAGTAGCTATAGGACACTACTTTGTTTGTCGAAATAGATTGGTAACTGAGTCTCAACATGGAAGCTCACAGTTAACGTTTGCTTCCTTCGAGTTCATAGTGTTATTTCCCAGAATGCTTTGTCTATAACAAGTCAACATAAAACATCTCATAATTAAATCATGTTCTGACCAGTTAAAAGAGCTGTCTATCAGTTGTTAAATGTGAATTACAACATTAAAACCTGTGGCTTATTCAAATGTGGCCTACATGTGGACAAAATTGACTTTCTATTCAAATGTATCTGGTGTGGTTTATATACAGGTGCGCTTAATAGTCCAGCAAGTACTGCACATAATTACTCTTTATCTATAAAGATAAATAAGGATATTGAATGCAGCCCTGAGCCTTTCTACATTGATTAATAAACTGTTCAATACAAATTATAACATATTTTTGAGTCATGAGGATACTACTGGCTAACATGCCAGTGATTTAATAAGGGATGTCTAATTGTGTGTTCAACCTCTAATTATCGCAGCCTTCCTGTTTCATTTGGTAAGTCAGAGCATATCCAAGTGTTTGTTAAACACCTGCCTCTTTTCCTATCCTCATCAATAATGCAGCCAACCACACACTGTGTGCCCCCTCCTGTGTCTTTCATCAGTCCTGCTCCCTGCGCTCGTCCAGTCTTGGGCATGTAGATCCATTTAGAGTTTAAGATGTGTGTCTTTGGGTCAGATAAGGACAAGTGGTTGTTTCAGCTCTGTCTGTTATTCAGCACATCACACAAAAACACATTTACACACACACAACCATACAAACGCACACACGCATGCTGGTCCTAGTCGCATGCAGTCCTTCCAAGTGCACGCACCTGTACACCAGCCTGTTTGTGTTGAGCCCTTTGGAAAGACCCAGGGATTGGTAGTGTGCACAAGAAAAATACTATTAGCCCTAGTACAGGACAACCATTTTCCAACTTTGTCTCAATATTATCTTCTTTTAGGTGTAAACGGGTGTTACGTTCAGGGGGAATAAATATCTGCACTTAATAACACAAATATTTTCTGCCACCCCTCCCTCTTGTGTTTGTTTTCAGATGGGAGCAGATGTGGACTACCAGTGGTAGCTGCCCTGCACAACAGCTCAATTTGACCAATACATTAGGACAACTTTTCAACTCAAGAGCACATCAGGCAGCTGAAAGATTGAATTTATCTTCAACCACAGACAATGACTTTTAAAGAAAAAATTGTTAAACTGGTTAAAAATGAATAGAAAGTAGTGTCTTTGATAATAAAACCTTCAATGGCATTAGATAATAAGCACAATTTTTCCTGTTCGGAAGGTGGACACTGGAGCAGTGCTCTGCACACGATGTTGTCCTTTGGTGCCTTGTTCAAAAGAAGGGAGCACATCTTCAAGTCATTTGTCACTAAACCAAACAGTCCCACACAGAACACCGAGGACACTGAACTGTTGACTTACACATGACAGATGTGACAACAATTCAACTTGATAGTTTTCATTCATTCCAGTGCTACCTTGTATTTCAGTCGACTTTTTGGTACATGAGGCAGTATGACCTGCCCTTCTGAGTCATTTACAAATCTGTAGATCACTCTACATTTTTTCAGCTTGTTTGAATCATAAGCTTTGGAAGCTGAGGATATTGTTGATTTATGATAGACATGTATATTAAATTCACACATACAGTTTATATATTTTTAGTTTTAACTCCCACTTAATGATATTCATACTTCTAATGTTTGTATTTGTGTGTGAGTGTGTGCTGTGGTTTTGCACAAATGTGGTTTTATGTGTTTGAACTGACAAAATGGGCACGTTGTGTTCCAAAGAGTTGGGAGTATGCCTCAGCTTCCACTTTCCTGCTCCTTGAGGCAGGCATGCACACACACTACATGCTTTTAACCCTAAGCCTAACCCTAGCCCTGGAAATTAGATGGTCCATAGTGAGAGGGATTTAGCTTTCAAAAAATCTTATTTATGTCCCGGTAAATTTAAATCTTATTGGAGCCTGTACGTCATAGAAACATTGAGGGGACACTCAAAAATACACTTTGCCTTAAATTAAATTTTGTCTGTCCATTATGTTCATGGTAAATGAGGTGTATGTACGAATGCACCCTTTTATAAACCGATCATTCACCAGATGCTGGGGGTTTATTGTTAGATCACCCGTGGGCTTTGTGGCACATTTTCTATTGTGTCCTAAAAAAGGTACTGGAATTTGTAGTAATTTTGTATTTTCAATATTTAATGGGAATGATTTTGTGTGTGTTTGGGTGGGGTGATGATTTGTGCATGTTATAAGAATGGATTTTAATTGTTCAGAGAGTCCATTTTCTGACTGGCCAAAACTATTACCATAAAAATGCTACTAAACAATGTTACTAAAAGTGTTTATTTCTCTCAAATTTTTATTTATTTTGATTTGAAAATGCTGTTTTTTTCAATCTTATTCAAATGCACTGATCACTAGCTATAGTATCATTAAGCTATACCAAACACTGGGTTACGAAGGACTGAGGCGGTTAAATAAATGTATTCTGTTTTTGTTTTGAAATAAGAAAATTTCACCCTTTTACACTGCATGAGCTGGAGTAGTACAGCAGCGCTACTTCAACCTATTTGTTTAAAAATAATAGTACTTGATAACTGTTCTGATGGAAATAAAAATTGACTTAAAATTTTTGTCTTTTACTCCTTTTTACTCACAAGTAGCCACAGTGAACAAGTAAACTGAGTTCCTGGGATGTTCTGTGTGATAAGGACATTAATGAGACAAGTCTTTCAAGAGAATATTCACTTGCTAGAAAAGGAGCAAAGTAGAGAAAAGTACAAAAGCGTCATGATCTGGGAATAGGAATATGTTAGTTTAAATATACTGGTTCACAATACCTTGTCTAAAGCTGAATGTGACTGAAATACTAACATTAATTTTTAAAACTGAAAGCAGACCAGCTTAAGGGGAAAAAAAGACAAATGAAAGTGTTTGATAATTCTCAAGGTTCGACTTAGATATCCTCAAAGGGAAATTGTCCAATAGGCAACAGTGCTTTTGGACACAAACATACTTAACAAAATTAGGACAATCTGCAAATCTGCACAATTTCAACACAAAAATATACCATGATATACACAGTCCCATTAAAGTGCTAGAATACAAATCAACATACCAGTATAAGATTACAGTTAAACAACATCTGACTGCACTGCAATAAAGGTTTCAATTAACACATGTTTGCTGTGTTTTGATCATGTTTTGCTTTGTTTTTTCACATGGCCATGAATTGGAACAAGTATTCCAAAAACACACAGTCACTGGGAACAATCTGTAGCACAGTCTTTCACAGCCCGCTCTGAACTCTCCAGTTTCCTACATTCCACCAGTGGCAACTCTTTAGTGTGAGATGGGACGGGCTTGTTACACCAGAGAACTCTGACCCTCTCTGCAGATAGATCACTAATTTTCTCATATATCCTCCTGCAGGTCTTACACGCACACACTACTTTGCTGTATTACACTTCAGCATGGAGCTAGGCAGCAGGAACCCAGCATTTCAAGAAGATGATGAGACAGACAATGAAGTACAGATCACCAAATTTGATTCTGAGGAGAAATGCGACTCCGTTACGCTGGATACAGATGAGGAGTTCAACCAGATCAAGCCATATGCTGGGATGCCTAAGGAGGTGCTGTTGCTGTACTCTTCCCAGGCTTGCTACAGGGTGCCCAGAGAGATCTTGTTCTGGCTGACCATAGCCTGCACCCTGGCTCTCATGGCTCTGAGCATCACAGTTGTTGCCCTGTCCCCCCGTTGCCTCAGCTGGTGGCAGATATCCCCAGTGTACCAGGTTTACCCACGCTCTTTCAAGGACTCTGATGGCGATGGTGTAGGTGACCTCAAAGGTAAGACCTTAAATGATTTTGGATGTTTTATCTGTGGTGGATTTTAATGCTTTCTTTTTGTGTTTTGTTAAGCACTTTGAGTAGCCTTGTGTGTGAGCCGTGCTTTACAAATAGCCAACAAAGTAGCCACGGGACCAAGAAAATGATTAGATATGATGTATCAGGATGTTTAACAGTTCACTTCACAAATCTCTGTATCTCAGGCTTACGAGTACGCCACAGTGTGTGAAAGTAAAAAAAGTGTAACAAAACAGAAACTTCTTTTTAAGATACTTTTTTAAATTTGTGTGAACAGGTATTCTTGAGCAACTAGATCACTTCCAGTATCTCAACATTAAAGCCATTTGGGTCAGTCCTTTCTACCGTTCTCCAATGAAGGATTTTGGCTATGATGTGGAAGATTTCCGGGCCATTGATCCCCTGTTTGGAACGATGCTGGACTTTGAAGAACTACTAGCTGAGATGCACAAAAGAGGTGTGTGGGAAAAAATCTGATGATAAAACTAAGGATGTCCAAATGTATTCTTTTTTTTTCTCCTGTTTCAGATTTGAAACTGATCATGGATTTCATTCCCAACCACACCAGTGACAAGCATCGCTGGTTTAATCAGAGCCGATTAGGTGACCCACATTACAGAGATTATTACCTCTGGACTGACTGCAATGCCTCCAACCCAAAGCCTAATAATTGGGTGAGTTTTCCAGGCTTTCTCTATCTCTGCTTTTGCTGTGTTTGATTTGGTTTTTGAATACATGCCTTTTTTTCTGTTAGGTGAGTATTTTTGGAAACTCGTCATGGACATACGATGATATTCGAGGACAATGCTACTATCACCAGTTTCTGAAGGAGCAGCCAGACTTAAACTTCCGAAACCCAAATGTTCGAAAAGAAATAAGTGTGAGTATACTACGGACACCAGTCGCATTAGTTAACATGTTGTATGAAGTTTGCATGTCCACATTTAGGACCTGATTCACTTCTGGCTGGGGAAGGGAGTGGACGGCTTTAGGATGGACGCTGTGAAGCACATCTTTGAGGCCGAACATTTGAGAGATGAGCCACAAGTGGATCCTCGTAAACCGCCTGTCAGTATTTGGCAATATATTTACACTTGGTTTAATTCGACTTGGGTGAAAATGACAAATGCATAGTTTCTGTATATTTCACTAAATTGTAAGACAGTCATAAGTCTATTTATATTTAGTTGTTTTTCTTTCCTATTTCCAGTATGTAAGAGTGTAACAAGATCAAATCACATATCACAAAGTTCAATCTGTTAGTGTTAAAAGATTTGCAGCTTGGACTTTGTCCCATACACAGATATTATATTGTTGTAACTGAGCAACATTGCCACATCATGGGAGGTATGAAGGGGCTCAAACGCTATTTGTTATTCAACTGTGAGCAAGTTGCAGGTTTTGGCAATTTGATTTACAACGGAAGGTCAGTGTAAAGGCACACTTGATACTGGATATAGTCAACTTTGTACAAAAGACAATCTTTACAAAGTTTACAGCAATTGACAAAATAGTCCTCATTTGCATAATGAAAATGTTTCATCTTCAACAACCAATCAATCCAAAACTTAATGGGGCATTTTTTATGTGCAAAAAAAATCTATTATATTGTTTGCATATTTTGACCTCATAGTGACACAGTGGCTGTATGAGTGGTCATCGTGGCGCCTTTACTTTCCATCACAGTGGTCTCTAGGAGGCTATAGAACCAATTGTTTAGAAGGTTTTCTCTGCTGTGGGACCCCTGCACCAGAAAACCTACAAATGAATTGATTCTAGAGCATATAGACACAACCCTGGGCACCATGATGTCCGCTCTTACAGCCACTGGGTAACAACAGATTCGTAAAAAAAACAAACAAAAATTCACATAAAAATTGCACCCTCCACCTTTAATGTAGTCTATTTCCCCCAACAATTAAAAAATAAAATAAATTAAAGCCGCAAGCGGCGATGAAAGGCCTCGCCCCTCTTGCGACCGCCTCCTGGGCGCCAGTCCCACAAGCGTCACGCAGACGAATTGGCAGCCCGATCTGACCAGGATTACATATATAAAAGCTCATTTATATGATAAAGTGCGTCCCTAGTGGTCACCTCCGGGACATGCACCCTCTACGTAGAGTAGTATTTTGCTCGTACAGATGTAAAGATTTGATTTTGCAACTTTGGTGAAGATCGGAAAAGTTTAGGTCAGAAGCCTTACATAGGTGGCGCTGTAGAGTCATATTAGGTGTGTGTTTTCACACCATTACTCTCAGGCCATTACCAACTGTTAGTGATGTGAGTTTCAGCTCTGTAGGTCTGAGCCTGTGGTCAGGAGAGCATCAAACATGGAGAAATTCCCCACTACCTTGCATGAAAACGATAACAAAATTCTAACTTTTATGCGATGATTACATAACTTCAATCCGTCCAGATATAGAAATGACATGGTAGAAGTCTGTGCGATGAAAATCCAGGGACTAGTACGAAGCCAAAAATGCAACACATTGAACTGCCTGTAGGTGGCGCTGTTGCACTCACAGTTGTGTGTTGCATATCGTTGTGTTCAGGGTCATACGTTGTATTTCTGAATTCATTTTTAGCCTCATCGGACAAACATTTTGCCCTAAAAAGCTCATTTATTCACTTTCCAGCGCCCCCAGTGGTCAGGTGTAGGACTTACAACTTTTGCGTAATGTAATGTTTTGCTCGTGTCGGTCCAGAGAATACACTCAGCGATTTTCGGGCCGATCCGAGCACTAGTGCCCTATTACTTTCCGACAGGTGGCGCTAAAGAGCTCAAATTGGGCGAATGATTTTAGTGTCATTGCGTTCAGGCCATAACCTAATATTACTGATGTGAGTCTCAGCTCTGTAGGTCTGAGCCTGTGGCCCTCAGGGCTCAGCGAAAATGGCCAAAACGAAGGCCTTATTCGCCATGGCGAGGGACGAAAACGGTGAAGATTTTCTAACTTTTTTTCGATGATTATATAACTTCAATCCGTCCAGAGCGGGAAATGACGTGGTAGAACTCTGTGTGATGAAAAACCAGGGACTAGTTCGAATTTATAAATGAAAAGTCAAATTAGTGGCGAAACTTCGGCCCCTCATGGCCGACTTCCTGTCGGTCCCAGACATGTGCTTAGAACGGCTTTTATGCTCGTCTCATAGAGATCTATCACTCATCCGAATTTCGTGTACCTACTCCAATATTTGAAAAAAAATCCCCAGAGGGTCAAAAAAAATGAAATTTCTAGGGGGCGTTATAGAGTCGGCGAGCGTCGGACAATCTGGAAACGTTCATTTTATCAAATTTTTCGCCGGACCGGTCGTTTTAGAACCCCCATGTGCAGACTTTCGTGCATGTCTTCAGGGTCAAAAATCGAATTGAAGATGCGGAAAAAAAAGAATAATATGAAACCGGTGAATAACAATAGGCCTCCCCAATACTTCGTATTGGCTCGGCCTAAAAATTCTCCCCAATGCTGCCATACTACATAAAGAGATGTTTTTGGCACAGCCTCGGTCGAGTTGCCCAAAAACAAAGAGACCATTATCTCACATTCTTTTTTTCCATGTGGACTTTGTGTGTAATACTCATCTTAGGAGGAAATAAGCACAGAGTGGGATCTGTACCACGACTACACCACCACTCAGATCGGCTTGCATGACCTGCTGAGAGAGTGGAGGGCGGACATGGACATCTACAGCCGAGAGCCTGGGAGACACCGGTAGGAGCCTTTTATAACATTGCTTTATTTTCCCCTTAGATATTTGGACATCCACACAATTTACATATATTTAAGTCCATTTGATTTGAAATGTTTGTTTGTTTCATGTTATATACTTGTAGTGGTGTCAGAACAGTTATGTAACAATATTTATGAACCTGACTTTAGATGTCACTTGTTCTTCTCTGTGTGATGGCAAAAATTGTGTACTATCAACAATTGTTATAGTATTTGTATAGTACTTGTATTTGTAGACTAGACATCTACTCTATTGACCACTGGTAATCATGGTGACCGACTTAAATACAAATAATGTATTTATATACACATAAAGTGCATTGTATTCATTGTGTGAACATCTGGGTAAATGATGCTACATAATAAAAATTCTGTATACTTTATAATTACAATCATTTTCATTTACTTGTCATGATTATTCAGACTCATTTTTCCTAAGCATGTATTAATATTTTAATTCTAGGTTTTTGGTAACTGAGTCATATGATTACCATGAAGTGGAGAAGACCATGATGTACTACAGCACCCCTCTGGTTAAGGAGAGCGATTTTCCTTTTAATTTCTACTTGCTGGATTTGCCGCAGAATACCAGTGGCCCGTGGGCCAAACATCTAGTGGACCTGTGGATGTCTCACATGCCAAAGGGACGATGGGCTAACTGGGTGGTGAGTCACACTTCGATCATGTTACACCAGTACAAATGTTTTCTTGCAAAACAAAAAGCAGAAGTTTGTTTGCACTACTCACAAACAGTTAGGAATATTTGGCTTTCAGGTTGATTTTCAGGATGAACATAAAATACAAAACAACGTTTACATGTGAACTTTATGTTTTCCTTCTCTGATCAGACTTGTCCAGCAGTACAATATCTTTAGTACTTTTTCAACAAGGTACAATATGTGTCCATGAGTTGACCAATAAATGTCTACAAACGGTTGTTACTGTACATACTGTACATGCAGAAGAATCAACCATGTTGCAAATATTCCAGAAAGAAGTATGATGGCTTAATTAGTCATTAAACATTTTAGGTTGGAAATCACGACAGATCTCGCATTGCATCAAGCGCTGGCCCAGCCTATGTTTGTACTATCAATATGATGCTGCTGACTTTGCCGGGAACACCCACTACCTATTATGGTGAGGAGATTGGAATGCAAAACATCAACATTACACAGGATCAAGTACAGGACCCGGCTGGCAGATACAACGTGGTAAGTACAAAAGGTTGCATGTGTATGTGTATTTGTAAGAACTGCATTCACTTCATTCCACATTTTATTGATAATAATGTGTATTATATTCCAGAGTCTCAGTCGAGATCCTCAGAGGTCTCCAATGCAGTGGAGTGATGACCTGAATGCTGGTTTTAATCTCCATAACAACCTCACATGGTTACCAGTACATTCAGACTACAAAACAGTCAATGTAGAGGTACGTCCCTGAAATAATATTTACAATGAACTATTGGCTTACAGGACCTTTTTTGTCTTTAGGCCCAAAAGAAAGATGAAAGTTCTGTTCTTTCACAATATCGTTATCTAAATATCCTGCGTGAGTCTGAGCTTTCTCTTCAAAGAGGCTGGTTCTGCTACATACACACAGACGCCCGGGTCTTCTCCTATCTCAGGGAGATGGATGGCCTCAGCAAGGCCTTTTTAGTGGTCCTAAACTTTGGAAAAGAAGCAGCTGTCATAGATCTCTCCTACATCAAAGAACTTCCAAGCCAGCTCAATGTTTTGATGAGCACAGTGCATACAAATAATGGTAAAAACATGCCCACATCTTTAATTCAGACTGAGGCAGGTGAGGGTCTGTTGATCCAGTTCTCCAGCAACATTAAGTTTAACCACAACAACCAAGAGCAGTGCTATGTCTCTGAGAAGGCCTGCTATTTAGGAGTCATGGACATCCTTTACAGATGTTAAACTGGGTGTTTATCCCAGTTTATTTATTCTTTGGATGTTGGGTTGACATTGCTGTACCTCCTTTTCCTTCGTAAATGAGTTGGAAGGTCTAGCCTCAGCTCTGTGTACAGGAATGCAAGCTCAAGGGCATCCTGGAAAATAAAGCATTGTTTGTATTGTATTTGTATTTGTATTTTGTATTAACAGATCCCATACAGGAGGTTTAGAAATGTAGAAATTACCTCTTTAACCATCAAGTCAAAGTCTTCTTGTCCGTTATGATTTTCTCCTGGTTGGATATTTAGTACAACATTTGGCTTGTGTTCACATCCTGGGGTAAACACACAAATCAAGACAAAGTAATTAAATACGTCATTGCTTCTATTAGATCAATGTAGCTCTGATGGGTTATTCAAAAGTGATGTGTATAATACTTCACACTCACACTGATTCTGTACAACTGTATTACCTTCACTTTCTTCATAAATTACCGTTTGAGTCAAATCTTTGGCCCAACCTGTCTTGCATCAGATATGTTCACGCATCCTCTCCATCCCTCTTAATGATCTCCCTCCTGTCTCAGTGGTACTGGCTGTTTCACAAGTCTGGTCTTGACCTTGACAGCTCCCAGTGTGCTCAGTCTAATCTCCGGCTGCGATACATTATCTCTTGGCCATGCTAATAGGCTGGCCCACGTGCCTCTCATGACTATGGCATCAGCACTTTTATCAAAGACTTTGACGAGCGGACCAGCAGATTATGTAGACATCTATACACGTATTCATAGGCCCTTGAGAGAACCTGCAAGTGTGCAGTTAGAACAATAGTGATGATGGGGGATAAGTTTGAGGCAGTCCATAAAAGTAGCTCAGGGTTGTCAGTAAGATGGAAAAAAGTCTGTTGGAAAAAGTAATCTAAATAGTTTAAGAGAGATGAATTTCGTTACTCGCTACTTGCACATTAGCCATAAAGCTATTCACATCGTGGGTTAGCAAGCTGATAGATTCATTGCTGCTGTGGATCATCAGACTTACCGCCACCAAAGAAGTCTTTAAAAAGTTAGTCTTCTTTAAAAAAGCTTGACTCACAATCAAAACAAAGGCAGTGATGAATCTCGCTATCAGAAAGGTGCAAAGCATTTTAGTATTGCGCGAGTAGTAAATAGGACAAATATAATAATAATACTTTCTATTGTGAACAACTTGTGTGTGTGTGTGTGTGTGTGTGTATAAGAGAGTGTGAGTGTGTGTATGCCTGAACACCAAAAATGAGCATTGAGTGATTGGTTACCAAAAATTTACCTGATTCCGGAATTAAGGAGAGATGGGAATTAATAGCCTTTTGTATCTTCTCAGCATAATTCTGAATACCACGCAAAGGCACTCTGGAATCGGCACTGTAGGCCGTTAATAGCATGGATGGATACCTCTGTGTAAAACAAAGAATGCATTACTGGAATAGTGAACATTTACAACATTGTCTTTTGATTTCACATTCTGTACACCTGAGGAGTAATGTTGTGAAGGGGGCAGTAACTGGAAATGGCAAGTCTGTGTGAAGTATTTTCCACAGGATCGCCCCATTCTTCTCTGTCCTCAATTGTCAGAGGCAGACTAGAATCCATCATTGTTCCAAGGACATCTAAAAAGGGAGCCTTAAAAATGAAATCCATAAATAATAGTTATATATAACACGATACAAATATGTTATTTCTTTTTCCTACCTGGAGCGTAACAGCCTGTATCAGATGTGGGTGAAGATTGCAAAGGGCCCCCACTGGAATGGCCCCAGCACTGGAGGCGGTGAGGGCAGTGACTGTGGATGAAGACACCCCAGAAGAGAAAAGATGTTGGACACAAGCCACCAGGTCCTCCACACTTTTGAGTTTGCCTTCACGGCGAGCCTGTCTGTGCCACGAGAGACCACGTTCTCCCCCACCCCTAGTAATCATGCAAAACACATTTATTACTGTGTTATTACACATTTATTGTAATAACAATAAAAATGAACGAAAGACAATGTGTACCTGACGTGACAATATGCCAGAGCCCAACCCAGCTGTAACAGAAGTCTTTTCTTAGGACTAAACTCCATGCTAAGGTCCCGGCCATAAGATCCATAAACATGAACAAGCAAAGGCACTTTATCCAAAGCCTTCAAACGTGCAGCATGGAACAGCGTGATTGGCACCAGTGTCCCATCCTGTGAGGAAGAGAGTTGTCTATTACTTTTTATTTTAATATAAAATACTTTTATACATCACGGTTATTTAACTTTATTGTATATATTTTGTTATTGCCTTTTATTTTGTATTGATGTGTATGTTCTAAATTGTCTATTTATGAAGGCCTTTGAATTGCTTTGTGTACAAACTGTGCTATACAAATAAACTCAAGAAATCTGAAAAGAAATGTCTTTGATACTTTAAATGAATGGTAAAAGATGATAATGATAATTAACACGGAGACTGTTTTCATTAGGCTTGTAAAAACAGAGTTGGAACCGGTGAGTGTCTCTTCTATCAGGGGTTCCTGTTAGAAGAGACACTCACTTAACTCAATTAATATCATTATAATTTGTGTCAAATTGTGCTAAATTAATTTCAAAGTTGTTTTTTGAGAAAAGTTATTGTGATATTTGTGAATGAAAAAAAAAAAGTTTTAATATAATTTAGAAATTGTAAAATATATTAATGAAATCATCTTGCGACCGCTACATTGGGAACCACTGCCGTATAAGAATATTAAACAAACTCTATGACTAATACCAAAGAAAATGTGATAAATACATGAATACAAAATGACTAACTTTGCTGCGAGCTTCCAGACGAGTGGTTGTAATAGTGTTGAGGTGATCAGTGGAGTTTTGATTTCCTTCAGCACTTAGAATCAATCCTTTTTCAGGGATCAGACAGAAATGCAGTGGTGGGTGAACAGGAGAGGAGATCAGAAACTCCAGCGTATTGGTTTTGTCTTGAGCACTTGCTTTTCTGGCCTCAAACGCACAGGCCCATGACGGTAGCTTTGAAACATTTTACACCATTTAGTACTTTTTTGTTTTGTTTTTCAAGCGTCAATAAACAGGTGGGAAACGTATCATATCCTACCTCTAAAGTGTAGAGTACATCTGGATGATTCAGTGACATTACAGACAGACCAATTCTATGAGATGGTGTCCTTGTGGTTAAAATGCAAAAGTCTGCAATTATTTCCATGTCTTTTATCGTAAATCCAGATGGAGGACAATATATCGGCTGCCATGTATCAAATGATGGCTTGGACAAGGATGTTTGAACCACCTAAACGGATGGATATAATGTTTTATTTTGTAATTTAAAAACCAAAAATCATTATACAGAATTTACCTGATATTCCTGCTCTGGGCCATAATTGCACAGAAGAATGAGAGAGCCTTTCCAATGCTCGACGTGATACAAAAGATCAGGAAGACGTTTTTGAACTAGGAATATTTCTTGACTCTGATCTTCTTTGTCAAGGACGAGCACTTCAGAGCTGCTTCTGCTGTTCGAGTTAATGGTGAGAAATTTCTGATCTCGAGTGACGGCTACTTCCACAAAAACACTGCAACATAAGAAAGAATATAATCTGTTTTATCTCACATGGGCCCACCGATCCTTCACATATTCACTCCTCATGATACAAAACCATACTTATTGATTATATAATTACATTTAAAGCTACTATGAGATTTCATAACACTTTGAAGCAACTTTTGTTAAAGTTAAACTCATCATTCTATCAATGTGCAGAAGCCAGTACTTTTCCCTTGTTGTGTCTATCTGAAGGCCAAGCTACAAGCACACCGTGGCAGCTGCTGATTGGAGGTCTCCATGCCTCCGCTCTGTATAATACACTTGCATTCTATTGTATCTGTGATCGTGTGCTCTGATCGTGCTGTCTCTACCATCGACAATAAAACATGTCTTCTGTCTGAATTTAAGACGCGATCCCAGACTATGTCATCTTCTTCACTACCTTACTTTTTTTGTTCTCAAATTATAAGTTAAGATATTCCTTTATTTGTCTCACAGTGGAGAAATTTCAATGTCATCTTTGCGCACATTACAGCAGAGAAAGAAGGAAATAAGAGCACTCAGATTGCACACATCAAATTGTCTATTATTTAAGATAATAGACAATATAATTAAAATAACACAATAAGATGGTAAAATAGAATACAATAAAATAAACTTTGGAGCTATAATTGCACTTTACAGATGTGTATATTGTACTTTAGCAGCGGCGAATATGAGCAGAATAAACATCAGTAATAATATCAACAGACATAGTGACTAGTGAATTACAGAAGCATCAGATGGATATGAAATAATACAATAATAATAACAACAACAGGTAAAGTGACTGTTGAATATATTTTCTCAGACAACTTGGTGTTTTTTAATCTTAGAAAACACATGACCTGTTGCATACTTGTGAGAAAAAGCCATGTGAGTCACTATTTGACACTTTCGGGCTGGGAGCTGATTGGCTGAGTGAGAGTGCCCTTCACTTTTCTGTCTAAAAAAAAACTGATCTAAAGATGTGATGGAGGGCTAATAATACATACATGTGAAAACTAGTGATTGAGCCACACTGTCTTGACAGCGAGGAACTAGTTAGATGGATTTTATTACATAGTTCCATTATTGTGGTTTGAAAGTTAGGTAGCCCAGCTTTAATGTGCTTCTTACTCAAGCTTTGGCTCTTCAAATACAGATGTAATTGTTCTGTTCTTTGTTAAGTCGAGGCGAAAAGCGATTCTACTTCGCAGACCATTGAGAGTAGTGTAATACAGGACATCATCTGTGGCCCACTCTGTAAAAGGCAGAAACACATTTAAAATATTTTCCTTCATGCACGAAATTGCTCAAAATGTTCATCTCGTGTGATGCAGACTGCAGACATCTTACCAAAGCTGATTACTTTCTCCAGCTGAACAAGTGGAAATAAAGGCCCATGTCCAAGGCTTATAATTACACATCTTCATGAAAGTAGAAATATATGTGAAAAAAAACCCAAATAAAAATGTAGTATAACTAAGACATATTTTTCACCTCTGCTCTTCCGATTGATACTTTTTAAGAGTTACGGCAAGATGTTTTTCTTGTGGCGATACACGTATTCTCTGGACAGCCCAAGGCACATGCTGTTTTTGCTCTGATCCACCCTTTTTAAACAACTGTTGTAGATCAAGTACTTTATCTGGTGATTGATCTGCTGTAATAAAACTAAATTGGATTATTCAGGGTTACAAAGGTATGAAAATAATGTATGTCTTTTACCATTTTGTTTATCTATTCTGTAGACCCCATCTGTATCAATATAATAAATATGATGAAGACTGCAAACCTGTGAAAAGAGGGCCTGTATTTACTGACTATAAAGGCTCAGAGCTCACACACTCGATAATATAGTAAAAGAATGGATGCGTCTTCAATATTGTTGCCTTACCCTTGAAAAGTTAGGTACAGCAGAGTAGAGGAGATATGCGGCTCTCACTCTCCTGTTGAAATACCTCTGCAAGTCTCTGTAACATTCTATTCCAGATGTGGAGCTAGAATTGTCCTGATAAAGATCATAATAATAATAATACCATTTAAATTCACCCACACACACACACACACACAAAGTCATTGTCATAATATGATTATCTTATTGGTCCAATCGCTATCAGATTCACTGGGGAGCCTCTTTACTATGATAGGATTTTCAGCTTCTTTTTGGGATCTGAATCTTTTGAATTGGTTCATGTCACGTTCAAAAGACTTTCTACAGTTACCATATTATGAGACAGAAGCCAATGGGAGGACCAATTTTATTTAAAAAGTAATGACAGAAGAACTAATTTAGCTGACTATTTGACCATCATCTCTCTAACACCTTTGAAAGAATGAATAATCTATGTATAAAATACTACACTTAAAAAAACCAAACTACTACTAACACTTACACAACTAAGGCATGAATGAGGTGTTCATTGTGTTGTCCACTCGCCTATGTGCTGATTCTTGTGCTGACAAAGATTTGAATGTTTTCAAATATGAGACCCGGTTCCAATAGTTAAAGCTGGGGTACCTAACTTACAAACCAAAAACATCATAAAAATCGTTCAGATTTTTTGCTCACAAACCATCACTGGTTCTATCCCGAATTTCCACATGTATTTTTGGCATCTGTCACATTTTAAGATCAGCTATTGACATAGAAGATTAAAACATAGCGGGCCACAAGCACAACCAATAAATTGTCAGCCCAAAGCGTTTTACTTTTAAGAATGTCTATTGGCACAAATGATAGAGATTATTATTGAAACAAAAAGTCAGGTACCCCAGCTTTAGGGAGCCGTTAAAAAGAGCCAACAACTATGACAGACCAGCAGAGGAGTTAGGTTGAGTTCATTTAGTAATATAAAAATAACATTTTAATGTGTTAATCCGCAATTCTATACGATTCTGGATGGATTATGTGTCCAATTTCTTACCAAGGTGTAAAATCTTGGGACAGCCACTCGTTTAAGAGGCAAAAGTTTGAGAAGAAGAAGTGTATATGGATAGCCACGAGAAGCAGTCAACATCACGAGTATTTATAATGTAAAATAAACGAATGTGTGCTATTCATGGATGTATTACAGTGCGATGCTATTCCAAAACACATGCTGCCCCTGTACTTCCTGTGAAAACAAACCCAGGACTCAGGACAAAAGCAATCGCACACAGAGCCTCTATGGTGCTATGGCAGCAGTGTGCAGAGGAGCTATCGGCAATCCACTACATTGTCTGTCATAGCAAAAGTGTGCGGAAGTAGCACATCACCATTCTCCTCACCATGGATGTAACAGGTGAATAAACATGGGAAATACGTCGTAGATATGGTTTAAGAACACGTTTTTGTTATTTTGAACTGATACACTGTGAAGTATTGACAATCAAGAGCGTAGGATCCGGGGTTTTCCACCGTGGTACAATGGAAAAACGTGCAACCGGTGCTAAAAACGCAATACCCGTCAGTAGAGACATAGATGGAGACAACGATGAAGATAATTCTCGTATTTCCCGTGACGATTCCACTGTGAACGACACCGCCAGAGCCAGATGGACTCTTCTACGACAGGTACACTAGTTATCCTTTTTAGAAACCGACTATTTTGCCATTACAAATGGTTAACAACCTAAGTCAATACAAGGATAATGTCTTTAATAGCTTTCGCTTTATATGACATTTTGTCACATCCCATCATGGTTTATGCTGTCAACAAAGCAAATTTCTTGACTCAAATTACACATCGAATTTGTGTTTATCTGACTGGCTGTATCTGAAGGAACCAGCTATTCCATGCCTACTGAATGATGAAGGGACATAACCCCTCAACCTTAAGCTGACCTCTAGGGGTGATCTTCTCTACCAAATTGTCTTTTGTCTAAGTAGTCAAGTTAGACAAAAATGTCTAACTTGTGTTACCCCACATACTACATTTTCTTCTAAAACTACTGTGTTATAAAACTATAACTAGTGGCTTCACTGTTCTTGGTAAATCAACAGTTGTGTGAATTCCTCCAAGACAACTGCTGCTGTGATCTTATATTGTATAGGATCTATATTCATGCCATGTTTTGTGGGTTGTGTGGAACTCAAAAAATTCTTCCCTTACTGGTGAAAATGACCTCGTGTTACTCCTCACTCCTCCTGGACGTTTTTCACATAAAGCTATGCAATGTTGTTGATGCTATAAACTTAATTTTGTTGCTATCTGTGACAATGACTATACATTGAATTTTGAATCTTGAAAAAATTTGAACCATAGACCCATGTGTGTGATTCCCACTCTCACAGGGCAAAACACTATTGTCTGCATTGTTCTATGAATATGTATGTGTAAATTGGTGTATGGTTCCCTGATGTAAAGTCAGGGAGGGCTTTGAGTGCCCTATAAGGAAAAAAATAATAATTATATACAAATTTGAGCATTTAATGACTGCCATTTGGTCACTGACCTTTTTGGTCAGTGACCAAGGAAGGAAAAAGAAGCGTTTTCCTTCCGAACTGGTTTTGATCCAGCTTGTTGGTTATTATTTAAACACTGAGACACAGAGGCCTTTACTGCTTCCCTGATGCTTTAATGTTGTGCTCTTTGGTGTTTTTTCACCCACAGGTGTTGCGTAAAAAGCAGGTCGACTCTCCTGAGATGAAGCAGGTGTCAGTGCGCAGATTTTCCAGTTTTGACCTTTTCAGCAGGAAGAGAACTGTCATTCATGAGACAAGCAATACCTCAGATGACCAATGGGTGGAGTACCGCAGTGTATCTCTTCCTAAGTACAGTGCCTTACTAAGGTGAAAACTGCCTTGCTGATACATAATACATTTTAAATACATTTTAAATAATTCTAAACTGGTTAAACTTATCTGTTTTTTACAGAGTTCATTTGGGGCCCCTCAAAGTCAATGAAGTGCTGAATAGTTTTGACAACACCGGTAACGTCTGTAAGTAATTCAATTTTTTACCTATATTACTGATTATATTACTATGATCTGTTTGCTTTAGTTCTGGTAGATACAGAATAATACTATTCATTACGATTTGCATTAATACTTATGTAATAGTTTAGAACAGAGGTGCCAAAAGTTGGCCCTCTTGATATATGACCTGTATATTGTTACTAAGGAAAGCCCTGTCCCTTAAACTAGACCATGATACTATTCTACACAAATAATCTTGTTGATTGCTAAAATAAGGCACGTCAATTATGTATTTCATTTCGGCTTGCTAAATGAAAAAGTTAGTGTATTCCTGGATTTGGTGTAATAGCCAGAGTGTGTGTACGTGTGTTCTCTTAGAGCACCCTGCCTATTAGACAATGAGCTAGCCATCCAGCCTGTTCTTCACCCCATGTTTGGGACTAGTAATGCGTATGATCAATTAGTATTGGTTGAGAGGATGCTTTGAAAGGCCCAGAGGTGACCCTGTCAGGGCCCTGGGGTATGTATTTGGGGAGGTGTATGGAGATAGACCCTTGCCTAGTATACAAACTCACACTTATACCCATGTCCTCTCTCAAATCTACAGCAGAATTCACAGCCACACATGAATGTTCCCATTCACACATGATTCACACTGATATCACACTCTCCTTCTTCTAGCTATCAGAGTAATCTCCAACCCCTGAGGTGTAGACAAACCCAAATCCTAGGGGCCCTTGTCCTCCTGAATAGTGGGCTTAAAAGCCTGGCCGGATTAACCCACTACCCCTATAATGTGTGGACTCAGCCTAAAAGTGCTACCCCTTCTCACCATGACGCTCTCTACAAGCTATTCAATTTGTCCCACCACTGTGCACGTATGTGAACAATATGTTATTTCTTAAGGTGACGATAAGCTGAAGTCAATGGTGTCAATAGCTGGGCAACCTTAACAATTATAATTCTTGTAAATGGAAAGTGGTTATAAAAGGCAACAATTATTAAGGGTTCAGGGTCCAAATGTTTGTTACCAGATTGTCCACTCGTCATTACACAATTTTATATTTTTCAATAACTTTTGAACACGCCCTTATCTCAGTTGGTGTGTGTTGTGTTTATAAGCATCATTCCACTGTTAACTAAGCAATGATTTAGTTGTGATGCAATCACCTGCTTTGTGGCACATGTGTGTGTTTTTATGTGCATTAATTTTGTTTCAGAATGAATTGCTGCGCGTGTATGTGGAAATAAGTGCCCCCTGTAGCCACCCCTAGTGCCAGGCCCTTAGATGAGCCCTGTTTGCACAATTATGCTAATTCATTGTGCCATAGTGCTAATTAGACCTTGTTAGACAATAGTGCGAGGTTGGAAGCTGGCATACTCACATATACAGACAAACTCGCTCAGACTGTTGTGTCAATGACAGCATTTGTAGACCCCCTCTGCGCTGTTTAGAACCAGTTTTCTATAGAAATGGATATGGACTGTTGTGCACAGGACTGAGCTCAGGTGGTTTTTCACCGTTTTGATTTTGGCTAATGGATCCCGAATCAATGTGAAATCAAATACTCCACATGCCTTCTTTAAGTCCGAGCACCAAAGTCAGATAAGCGTTTGTTTGCAACAACTGATGCAGATTTGTTTTCAGCGGAGCAGCCACAGTCAAATTACATGAAAATTAACTTTTTGTCATAGTGTAAGCAGCTGAACACATTTAAAGTTAGGCATCGGAAAAGTTGTGGGGAATGGGGCACATAGCCAGAAATTGCCTTTTGATGTCAGTTTTTGTAATTTATGTAAACTGGATTGATCATGTGTGTTCTTTTCTTTCAATTGAGAAAAAAACCTAAATCTATGTATTAATAGTGACATTCTTGACATTCTACTGTCAACACCTCACTTAAGTTGATGTGCATGCAAATGTGCACATAATGCTTCCATGCTGCCAGCCATTATGGCTCGGGGCATAATAAGGATTGAGGATAGCTCCTGGGTGTATCTTTACTCTGTGTAAGACTGCTCTCCCATTTTAGTCAGTAGTTGATTATGTGAATTTAAGCATGAGGGAAAGTTGGTGTGAGTGTGTGTGTGTGTGTGTGTGTGTGTGTGCGCGCACACACGTGTGTGTCTAGATGTGTGTGCTTGTGTGCACAATTACCAGTAAGCGGTGGGATTAAGTTCAGGAAATGAGTAGAGCGTTAAAGAGGTGCTTCCCTGCCCAGTGCTCCTGCATTGTCACCACTGCTAATACTCAGCTAATTACAAGGACATACTTTAACAGCAAGCTCAGCTTTTCACTATAGTCTGCTTCTGCCACCGTCCCCTCCCATTCTTATGTTACTCCTTCAGCCTGGAATTAGGAGATGAACTGAGAGTGTAATAACATGCCTTCCCCACCTAAAATCTCACACCCCTCTGGATAGATACAATTATTGGATTTTTCTCCATTTAAGTCAGCGCCTATGTGCTCCCTCCCAACTCTGTCCCCTATGGCGGATTACCTCATATATTTGTATAACTGTGGCAACCTTAATATATAGTCATATAATGTAAATTACTCATGAAACATATTATTATTAGTAATATTTCTTTAATATTTCTTTTTCCTCTACACATTAAACACCAATAAGCCTATTCAAGTATTGTGCAGAAAAACAAAACTCCAAAAATGCTGAAACATTAAATATATATATAATTTATTTCTATTTTTATTGCAGTTCCACAAATCCAGTTTTTTAGTCCTCAATAAACACAAGCACCTGTAGGCAATGAATTGTCAGATAGAGATGGAGCAGTTACTCTTGGCCTCTGCAAGACACTGGCAGGTTTATTTATAATGGCTCTACACTTTCTAAAACAGTAAGATCGCATCCATCCAAATACAGTATGTCATTTTTAGCCTATTTTTAAAAACACTCAGAAGGGCTGAAATGGATTATTATTTATATATATTAAGTTTTTCGTAATTTCCACTATCTCGTCCACCAGTTAGTAGGGTCCGGAGATTATACTGATACAAGAAAGCCCACCGGGGGTCATTTCACAGCTGCTGGCAAAGATAACGTTGCAGGTATTGGGAAGGTTTTTATTGGGGTGGAATTTTGCAATAGCTGGTAGCAGAGGAACTCTGAGAAAGCGCGTGCAGATTTTCCAAGGGGCCCCTGGAGTACCTTGTTCATTCGCGCTACACGCAAGCTTGTGGGTGTAGCTCGTGGTCATGAGCTTCAAGCATAGTTACTGATGCCCTACTCCATTCGGAGGGTGTTCGATCCGGCCATCCTATAACACACAGCATGAGAGCGTCAGGTTTAATCCTAATATTTCCTGGTGACATTTTTTTGGGTGAAAGTTTATAAAACAAAATAATCATTGTTATTGGCCGACTTGCTGAGCTGACTTTAAATTAATTGTTTGTAAATCAATGAATGGTAATTGGGGCCTTCTGATTCGGTATCCACTTGTGTCCTTGTCAGTTCACAGTAGGCTATGGCGCCATACACCTTTGTGTTTGTCCTGTCAGGCTGAACCACCCTCAACCTTTAAAACCTAGAGAACAGTGGGGAGAGTTGGGGCATTATGTGGGTGTCGCAGGCTATATTAGAGATTCCAATTTTAATTGAGCCTTGATGGATGATAGAATGCTCAACATGAGATGTTGATGGTTAATATTGTATTTGGAGAACAAATACTGTTCTCTCAAAATAAATATATATTGAAATGTCTTAATGTAGAATACAGCCTTTTGATGATTGAACAATGCAGTATTCAAAAACATCCTGTCTAATGTCGGGGTAGTGGGGGCAGTGAGGATTAGCAGAAGATTGGAGCACCAGGTTTTAGAGCGATCTCCTTGAAAGTCTATGCACCGCCCCACTGGGCCTTTCATAGTGTGAGTGAGAGTGTGCTGGTCTGGCCGGGCTGTGCAGTGGGAGGTTTAAGTGCAGGATCACAGATGGGGACATTAGCTTTCTGTAATACTCTACATCACCTTTCCCTCCAACACTTCCTTTCTTTTGTTCCTCTCAGCCACATCCTTTGTTTTGTGTGTGTATTTTTTGTATTTTTAAATAGTAAATAATAGTGATATTATGTTCACTTACTGATTATTAAAACTGATTAAAGTACATTTTAGATCAGTGATTATTAACGCTTCCGTGCTTTAAAACAGACATTGCACTAAATCGACTATTTTGAGCTTTTAACAGCTATATTTTTCCTCCATCAAAAGCAGACCTGGAATTGTTTTTAGATCCATCCATGCTAATATCAGGTACTTCTGGCACAAAACGTGTAACTCCACCCAGTCTTAAAGCTCCCGTGTCAAACCTGCAATAGTGTGATGTCATTGTACCATTATCACTGTTGGATTTTTTTCAGGTCAAATTACATTCTTTAAAATGGCATGTCAATGTCAAATTTGGAACAAAAAAAAAACTCTCGCCCCTCTTGTTATAGAATAGGGAGTTACAGTCGGAAAGCATTTTTTAACATCTTCATACTTGTTTCACCATATATTTGTATATAGGTTAAAGAAAGCTATTTTTGTATCGCCCTAATTTACAACTGCAGTCATCTTGGAGTTCAATAGGCCAACAACAGGTTACAGAAGCAGACTATTAGACCATGGGAAATGCAATAATAAGAAATGCATTGGAGCTATACTTGTCCTGGATCATTACTGTCCTTAGACCCTCCTGCAGTGCATATAGATAGATATCTCCAGATCTATAGATAGATAAAAATATAATTATTGATCCCCCGTCAGAGAAATTCAGGTGTCCAGGAGCAGCAGAAACACATGCATTCATACAAACAAAACAAATAAATAGATCAATCTAAAAATATGTATGTTGTTCTTTCATAAATGTTGTATATTTCAATATTGGTTGCTTTGGTCCAACAATTCCAATCAGTAAAATGGATTAACAATATGATTTGTAGACATTGTTTACCTTGTTGACTTGTAGATTATTCTTTATTCATATTTGCCAGAAGTTCTCCTTCTTTCACCTCGACAACCACAA